AAGTATCAGACCATTCTTTCCAATTATAGATGCTATAAACTTTTGTGACACGATACCCCTTTTTTAATGCAAGTTCTAGTTCAACAGTACACGAAGTGCTTACAAATCCACGCTGAATATCGTTGTGTTTGCACCATTTTTTGCCTATCTCTCGGCTATATTTCTGTTCTTTTCGCTTTGGTACTCCTGGTTCCATTTCAATTGCACAATGATGACATAAATGGAATATCTTCAAATATCTAGGACTTTATAAAATTACTTACTAATTTGCCGTTTATTCTTTCAGGAATTACAGGTAGATACAGATCATCGGGTGGAATTATAAATATTTTAAATATTCCTCTATAAGGACGCATGTCCTCAGGCATAGTCCAATTTACATCAAGATTAATATCAAGAACATCGGGGTGTCCTAAAAATTTTAATCTTAAAGATTAAATAAAATTACCAATCGGATAAAAAGCATAGAAATTCACTGCAGGATATAGACTAACCACGTCAAAACAAGAAATTTCATATTCATCGTTATCTTCCAAATTGCAGTTTAGAGATAATGGCCCAGTTCTTCCACCTAAATTAGTCGGTCATATCAATAATGAAACTTAAAACCATGGAATGCATCTCTAGGAAATAATGGTCCAATGTCCGGTAGCTTGCCAAAGAAAAGCGACATTTTTGGATCATCATCCAAAGCTTTATTCACTTCGCACTCCCAAAATGTGTATGTACAGATACCTTCCTCTTTCAACAAATTAATTCTTTCTTCCAATTTTTCTTTATTGTATAGTGCCGTTTTGCCATTTAAACAAATTTCATGTTGACGATATAGACTAAATCGATAAAAAATTATATAAAACTATTTTACCATTCATGTCCGTGCCAGGCGCAGCCGAGAAACTCTATTGCTATATCTGTTCCTCCATTATTTCCTTTGATGTAGCCGTCAAGACGTAACACACTTCCATTTGAAGCATAAACTCTATACTCGCCTTCTGCGCTTCCTTGATGTTGTATTTGAAGACCAGTCCTATGTTCTAACCATCTAATAAATTTCAAAGCTATTGTAGACTGATTTGAATCCCTATGATATCCGTTGTCAGGAATAATACCAATTTGGTTTTTTTTTAAATAATTGATGCCTAAATTTAATTTATATTTAAAAAATTTTTAACTTTTTTACAAAAATGACGGAGACACGCACTAGCCAAGGTCATTGAAGAAACAAGGACATCATCTTGTTTAGAAGGCTCAGGGGCAAGTTCAAAAAATAACTTTTGAAGTTTAACAAGAGCATGTGCAAGTATACGTACATCTTGCTCACAATATTCGACAATTTTTTCTTTAAGGCAAAACTCTTCGTTTTTGTTTAACATGTGCCATTCTTCAAATTCCTTTCTTCTTTGCTTTCCCATAGAATTTGGGTAATAATATTCTTTATCTGGCAATCCATCAAGACGCACATGCATGTTTTCGTTAAAGTTCCATCCATGAGGAAAGAATGATTTTCCTCCTTCATCGATTTTTAACCCAAGTGCTTTTGGAAGCTGATCTAATTTGAGCATCATTCAATTAAACGAATCTCGAAAAGATATATGCGGACAAATTCCTTTTTTCTTTTTTAGAAGAACCTCGTAAAGTTTATTGCCTGTTCTTGTAATATTCGGCTCAAATCCAAAATGCCTGATTAATTCACCCAATAGCAAGTGCATATCATAACGGCTAATTAAATAAATTAAGTATTAGTAAAATCGCCCACCCTCCATAATGTGAAATAGCATATGTGCGACCAGTTCTCTCTTTTCCAAGTCCAAAAATTAACCATCGAAGAAATTCACGCAGCGGATTGTTATAATTTGCCCCTGTCCAGCTTTGCATTCTTGATATTCCTGGATTGCATTTTCTACATGTACCAGTGTTTTCTTCTAGCCATTTATTGTTTCGCATACAGGTTGAGCAGAATAACATTGCCTTGTTATTTTATTATTTTATCAGATAAATATGTTACCGAAACGCAATTCACGTGGTGGAGTCGATAATTCACATCTGAATCTTGAATTTTATTCGATCCTTCTTTACGTGGAGTTATTAGTTCGCATTCAAAATCGAATACAACCTAAAAAGATCTTTATTTTTTGCATTCCATTATAACCTACCATGAGATAATTGTGTGTTTGTTTAGGAACAATTGGCTGTACAAAGCAATGAACCTCTCTTTTATGCCAAGAATGACATAGCGAACAATATCGTATAAAACAGCTATGCCCTTCATTATTTTTTACTCGGTAAATTTGACCACATTCTTTGCATCTATATTTAAAATAGCTTTATTTAATTAGTAATTAACCTCTTAAATATTCTGCATATTCCTTTTTCCAAATGCCTTTGATAACAGTTATGATTTCGGAATACATTTGAACATTTTAAACAATATAATTCAAAACCGTCTATTTGTTTACACGGAAAATCAACTCCAATACCACAGCAACGAGGACATTTTGCTAAACATGTTTGCCTATGCTCATTCTTTTTTTGATAGGTTGTTTCACAATCAAGACAATAATATATATCTTTGCCAAATAGAGAATTAAGTTTTCTGATACCATAGTAATGACCATCTTTTAAATATAGTGAAATATCTTTTCTTGCTCTATCAGTCCCCTTCCAAATTGGACGAGTTTGACCATTCTCATCAAACACAGATAACCTGTATTGCCCCGGAAAGCGCTCATTTAAATATTTTTGAATTAATGGGACATGTTCTTCCACATTATAATATTTTAAATTTGCTGAATATCTGATTTCTTGTCTTTTAAATTGAATAAGCATCTCCATGATCAAATTTCGGCGATATAACTTAGCTCTTGCTCCTTTTCCATGAACAAGTCTTTGAAATTTAACATTTTCATTCGTTGTTTTTTCCAAATTCATATATCTTATTGTAAGTTGGACTGCTAATATAAGGCAATGATTTTCAAAAAGTCCACCAAGATCCTCATTTCGAACCTTAATTTTTAGATTAATATTTAAATTGACTATACCTCTATAAGGTTGTTAACATCAATGCCTTGCAAAATTTGTCGTCCTTTTCTGCCGCTTCCACTTTGCTCATTTTGTATTAAAGCAAGGGCTTCATCATGTGACGGTCCCATAACGATCTGCTCGAATGCATATTTTTACTTTTAATTAAATAATACTTCAATATGTATCGGTTGACTATAGAGTGATGGTCTTCCCATTCTTTTTCCACTTTGATCTACAGAATCAAATTGCTCCATGACAACCTGTGGTGTGTTTTGTGCTAGGCCTCTATATGGAATTTGAATAGGCTTTTCCAACACTGCGCTCCTGATTATTATAGAACATTTTTCTGATTTTGTTCCAGAAGACTTGTCCGCTTTGGCAATGAAATGGTCAATTAAATCCTCTAGCAGCTGGTCTGTTCCTTCTGGAGCATCTTCAACATTTGTTACGGTGAATATATTTCTTAAATATTAAAAAATAATTCGATTTTGTAAAACCTGAAAACTCCTATTTTGAATCTAGTGCTGTTAATAGTCTCTGATGCCTCTTCTTTGTAAAAGTGATTAACAGAATATTCTCCAAACTTTTTAGAATAATCCATCTAAAAACTAAAATTAAAAATTTTTTAAATAATTAGGTAAAAGTTGAAAATAACATATTAGAAAAAAAGCAAATAATATTAATTGTTTATTCTCCGGAAAAGTGATATTAAAATACTCATAGCCTTTAATCTGTTTTTTCGGCAATTTCAGGTACAACTTGTTCTTCTAAACATTCTTCAGTTTGTACTTCTTTGTCTTCTTTGTTGGGTTGGACCGTACTCATTGAATCCGTGTGCTCTCTCATGAAAATTATTGGCGAATCTAAATTTTTAAAAAATTAATATATTGTGTGGTAGGCTAACCTTCTCTCGCGATTGGTCCGTGGATGCTCGCGTGTTTATTGAAAATTTTGATTGCCATCTCTAAATCTATCTTCGACCAGAATTTGCTAAATGGATTATGAAGCTCAAGATATAATTCCTCCTTGACAACCTCAGTAATTGCCTAAATTCGATTGCTAAGTCTTATAATAAAAAATTTACAATTTTCGCTAAAGCATTTCTCTCTCTAAGTATATGTTCATGCACTTGACTCTTGGAAAGGGGATAACGTTGTTCATGAAATTGCATGAAAGCCTCATATAGCTCATTTTTCAGCATATTGTCATCTTGGCGCACATATTCCAAAGTATTTAGTTGACGCGAGAAACGAATGACGCTTTCTTTGAGACCATCAATTGCTTGTTCGTACATTTCTTGATCCATCTTAAATTGAAAATATTTTAAATTACTAATTAAAGTAGCACCTTTATGTCAGATACAATATGTGTTGCTTAAATTAATCTTAATTTAAAAATTGGTTAAGAATTTAAAAATATTATAAATTGAATTAACGATTTTACAGTAAATTGTATAAAAGAATTTTTACTCAAAATTATATTATTTTTATTATCAAATGTCAATAATATTATCATCGTTGTTTTATTTCTAGTTTTTGTTGACATTATTGTAAGTTTTTTGTTGGTACTCTATGTTGGCCGGCGAACAAACGGAGCAAACCTTAATTACGATTATTCTTTTATTTAAAATTAAAAATACCAAGAAACTAAGCTCAAATTTGTCAGCAGATTTTTGAAGAAAGAGGTCACTTGCCATTTTCTTTGTTAATTCTGAACATTGTGAGCACTAAAGAAAAATTATTAAATTATTTATACTTAGTACCTGGTGAAGGATCCAGCAATATTTTGTAAGGTTTATCAATTTTTTCTCTTTCGCTTTTATAATTCCGTTTCCTCGACAAAATTTCAAAACTTTCTCATCTTGAAATATAATTGTTTAAATATTCCTTTAAATAATTTTACCCTTATCAAATTTTGACGATTGCGCGCCTGATAGCATATATTTTGATGAGTTACCTGAAAAATATTATAAGAAATAATTAATAATTTTTACCAAAATATCCATTATAATGCATTCCTAATGAAATATTCTTGTCCAAATCTTCCGCGCACAATTCTATAGTCAAAATAAACAATCCCGGATGTCCAATTTTAAAGAGAAAATATTCCCTTTTTTTCTGGTGGTTGCGACAAGATTCGCACATATATACGAAGATACCACTGCGCGGATCTTTAAGAATTTGCGCTCGGCTGAGTAGAGCTTCTGGCACAACAAATTTCTTTAGTAGTTTTCCTAAAATTTTATTTAAAATTATAACTGCTTAATTAAAATTTACGATCAAGTCGCATTTTCTTATATTCTTCTTCATTTTCTCCTAAGTCCACCTCTTCGTCTGAGTCAGGATCACTTGACTCATCCTCATCCTCTTCCATTTGATAATTAAGGATTGCTTGATGCAACTCTTCTTCATCTTGCTTTTCTTTTTCTGACTGTCCATTTACTTTTTGAACAATGGACTTTAATTTAAATATAGAGAAGCTATTCATTAAAGTGCATACCTTAATAACAGGATCAAAAATATTTTTTTGCTCATCAGTTTTTTTCTCGGAAGTTTTAGCTTTTTTGGGCATTGGCGCTTTGTTTGATGATGAAGAACTCTTTGTCACTGAACGTCTTCGTCTGGCTTCTGCGGCTTCTTTCTTTTTTCTCTGTTCTTTAATAAATTCTCTTACTTCCTCCATCTCTTCTGTTGTTATAGAAACTAAAAAAATGAAAATGAATTTTGATCTGACTCAAACCTTCAACATTTGCATTCATTTGCGTATCATTCTTTACGATTGATTCACTCTCTGAAAATAAATTTTTATGTTTAACGATTAGCCGATGACAAACCATTATCACGTGAATCATCGTCTATAATTATTGTCTCATCTAATTAGAATTTTTTAATTATATAATTTAATTACCTTTTTTAGCAACCACTTTTGAATTAGAGTTCATTTTTTAAAATCAAATTATTTTGATTGTGATAAAAAATTAATCTTAAATCAAGCTAATAAAAATTTTTTATTAATTAATCGATTAAGCAATGACTAAGACTATTTTTAAAATTTAAATAATATTTTAATTTTACATAAAGTAAATAGGAGGGAGAAAATTGAAAGGAGGAAAATTTTATAAAACTCGAAGTGAATGATTTTAGAATGAATCATTTTGATTGTGAGAAAAAATTAATCTTAAATCAAGCTAATAAAAACTTTTTTATTAATTAATTAATCGATTAAGCATGATTAAGACTATTTTTAAAATTTGAATAATATTTTAATTTTACATAAAGTACATAGGAGGGAAAAATTGGAAGGAAGAAAATTTTATAAAACTCGAAGTGAATGATTTTAGAATGAATTATTTTGATTGTGAGAAAAAATTAATCTTAAATCAAGCTAATAAAAAATTTTTTATTAATTAATTAATCGATTAAGCATGATTAAGACTATTTTTAAAATTTGAATAATATTTTAATTTTACATAAAGTACATAGGAGGGAAAAATTGGAAGGAGGAAAATTTTATACAACTCGAAGTGAATGATTTTAGAATGAATTATTTTGATTGTGAGAAAAAATTAATCTTAAATCAAGCTATTAAAAAATTCTTTATTAATTAATAAATCGATTAAGCAATGACTAAGACTATTTTTAAAATTTAAATAATATTTTAATTTTACATTAAGTAAATAGGAGGGAGAAAATTGGAAGGAGGAAAATTTTATAAAACTCGAAGTGAATGATTTTAGATGGAAAATTGAGCTTCTTTTATATTCACCAGAAAATGTGTTTTACACTGGATAATTAAATTTTTTGCAATAAAAAAACCTATTTTAGAATTACATTTCACAATAATCCTTGTCATTTTTTGTGTGTTTTTAATCCTTTATACAAAAAATTTCGCCATATTATTTCATTATTTTGTAAAAACATTATTAAATACATATTTTTTAATATTTGTGTGTATAATGAGGAGATAAAACCTGTTTGAGCGTATTTCCAAGTTGTTAATTTGACAAACTTTGAATAAAAAATGAATTATATTTTTACGTTTTTCTATTTTTGGATTCAAGTACATTGCTCAATTTATTTTTTGCGCATTTTTAATGATGGAAACTTTTTACAGCGAATTACTTATGTAATTTATTACTTTGTCAACTACACTTTTTTGAATAAAAAATGAGTATAGTTTTGAAATTTTCTATTTTGGGACTTAAGTACCTTACACAATTTATTTTGTTAGTTTTAATGGTAGAATTTTCGCTTATAAAAGCACAGAATTTTTTCGTCTCATTTTATTTTACTCCTATTTTATGCTTCCCCCACACTGATCACCAATATCGCGACACCCGAATATTTTTATAAAAGCTGATTCATAAATATGCATTTTCCTTAATGTTATTTCCGGATATACTACTCTTAAAATGAACATCAGAAAAGACTTTTTAATGAATTCTTAGGCTTGGATGAAATAATATTTTTGCTCTTAATTTTCTGTTTCTGTAAAAAAATACACTAAAAAGTGGATAAGCATAAAAAAAGAGAAATGTTAAGATTAATAAAAAGTATTTTCATTCCGTTCTTTTAAAGTGAGAATATTGTTGGACATTGAAATTAGTGATAGGAAACAAGTGAAGCTTTACTTTTTAGTTCTACAAATTAAGTATTTTTACTCTGTTGGGCATTTTGGGGTTTTTTGGTCAGTGGGACATTTTGGGGTTTTTAGGTCAGTGGGACATTTTGAGGTTTTTTGGTTGGTGGGACATTTTGGGGTTTTTGGTTGGTGGGACATTTTGGGGTTTTTGGTTAGTGGGACATTTTGGGGTTTTTGGTTAGTGGGACATTTTGAAGTTTTTACAGGCACATTTGCAATTTTTTGGCAATTTTTTTCAATAAAATCTGGACCTTTTCAATTACTTATTATTAAAATAATTGAAAACAGTACAAATATATAAAAGTTTGTACATGCCCTCAAGCAGTTAACTGACAAATAGATAATAATACCAATAAATTAATTAAATATTCAAATAAAATAATTTGTAAAATAATTAATTATAAATTAATTAAATAGCCAACGAAAATGCTACTTTAAAAATAATAAATTAAAATATTAATTCCAAAAATTCTCCTTACGTTCTTTATTATCTAAAATAAGCTGTGGATATTTAGAAGATTTGTAACAGCCAAAAAAAGATAGGATAAGGCGCAACAATAAACTCTACTTTGTTTTACCAAATATCACGCCATTCTTAAACAATAGAAAAGACAACTTTTAAAAAAGTACCTTTATTTTAATAGAATTTTTTACAAGAAAATTATTCCTGGATGATTCAAGTACAAAGAAAATTTAGAGATTTTTTCAAAAGAAAAGGAACAATGCTTACAAGATTGGGTAAATTAGATTCTTAAATTTTTTCTAAAATCGCAAAAAATGATGTGATATATCGTATTCAATTAGTAAATGTTAAAAATTACTATCTCCAATTATTGTTTATTTCTTACTTAGAGTAAATTACTAGGATTTTAGTAATAAGTAAATAAAGATTTTTTTAATAATTTTTGGGCATTCGTTTTTTTAAATAATTAAATATTGAAATTTAAAAAATAATTTCCAACTCTCATTTTTGACAAGCTTCTATCTTCAAACCACCTATTTTAAATTCTAATCAGATTAATAATTAATAAAATATATATTATTAAAGTCTTTTTCCTCTCTTCTTTTTGATCTATAATTTTTGCGCCTCAAGCTAAAATTTTTAAATTTTGGAAAATACTTGAAAACTATTTCTTAAATCCGTTTGTTAATCTTTACCTTTCAAAATTAATTTTATCACTAATACTATTTAAATAATATAACAGATAAGTAAAATAAAAGTGATGGAAAGCAAGTAGAAAGAGTACATCGGATAAACACATAGAAAGAGGAAAATGCGCATATTAAATATTTACAATAAAAGACTTAGGAAAAAACGTGAAAAAATAATAGGTAATCAATAAACAACTACAATAAAATTTCAAAACAAAATTTTCAAACACTTTTTTTAATCCAAAAGCGCCGAAATAAATCTAACATTTTGCGCCGCATGCGAAAATTTTGAGAATTTTGGAAAACAATTAAAATATTAAATTAAAATTTGTTACTTCTAAATAAATTCTTCTAAATTATTATATTTTTTATTATTCATTAAAAATTTTCATTTTACTTCTATTTACTCTTTTCCCCACTGAACTTTTTTATTTTTTTCACCGGAGCCTTGTCCATATTGTTCCACTTTTTATTTGCTTTATCTATTTTATATTTACGCACAAACTCATAGAACTGCTTCTGCATCATCAATATCACCTCAAAAAACAAATCATCCGATCAAGGGTTATCTAATTAAAAACTACCTCAATTTTCGGTCTGTATCCATTTTTTAACTCCGTAAAATTGTGAGGAAAACAGCGTTTTAAGTTTTCCTGTAAGTTTAACAGTTTCAATATAAGATTACTATACCTACTTTTATTTGATCCCAGTATCTATAACGTGCATCTATTGGGGCGAAGTTTACATCGTGGAATTCTTTCCCATGCTTTACTACTAATTGCTTGCTGGGAGAGCCCTTTAAAGTAATTTAAATTAAATTATAAATAGATATGAAATAAATAATAAGAAAATAAGAAACTATAACTTGTGATCTCTATTATGTAACTTTATATATTTTATGACTGATAAGATTTGTATTGAAAATCAACATATATGAAATAGATAATAAGAAAATAAGAAACTATAACTTGTGATCTCTATCATGTAACTTTATATATTTTATGGCTGATAAAATTTGTATAGCAGTCAAAGATATGAAATAAATAATAAGAAAATAAGATTATTTTAAAAGCTATATTTAACCCCAATTATATAGATTTTTACCGCTTCGCAGATTTTGCATTGCCATAAGCATTCAACCAGATGGTCATAGCTATGTCGGACAAAATTTTTTTCCAACTCTTTACCACATACACGGCACATAAGGATTTCATTTTTCATAACATTTAGAAGCAATCCGCCCCCTATGTAGCGTGTAATTAGGCCCCTAATCCTTATTGCTTCTCTCCGAATTAGCCCCATTCTTTTCCTAAATATGTAAATTAGATTTATTTTAAGAATTTAGTACTTCTTGCCGAAAATTTTTCTTAAATTTCTACTTTTATTCCCCATTTTAATGTTTTAGAAGATAATATTTTAGCTAAAAATGAAAAAATATAAGAAAAATAGGCGTTTGAAATTTTAAAATTAAATTAAATAAAGAAAAAACAAATCATCCGATCAAAGGGTATAAAATTCTTTGTATAAAATGGGATAAACTTGAAGATTTTTAAAGGAAAAGTCATCATGAGAAACTAGCAAAATATTTTTATCAGAGGGATTATATGAAGAAAAGACAAATCATCCGATCAAGTTGTTCTATTAAATGTAGTTTTAATAATAAATGTTTATTTTTTGATATTTACTACAAAATTCGTATTCTTATATACTGAAATTTTGGCAGTAATATCGTTTTTTAAATTACATTTTATTTTTTGCTTTTGCTAATTTGGCCCATAGATTTGTATTTTTTGAAGTAATTCTTTTTAATTAGTTTTTTTATTTTGTTTTAGTGTTTTCTCATAGTAGTAATTTTGTACATAGTTATTTTTTCAATTGTTTTTTATATA